TCCCCAGGTAATTAGGGTCAGAGACCCTGTGAGATCCTGACCTGAAACACCTTTAGGATTATCAATTGATGACTTTCTGCCTGGAACTGTTATTATATCAGGAATCAAAAATGCTGATTTTTAAAATTCTATTATTTTTCCTATATTTATTAGTTGGCATTCCTCTATAAAGAAGGCCTTTCCTTCTTCCTACATTACTTTTGTGAGTATTACTATGGACTTATGGATTCTTTTTATTTTTTAATTCATTGTGCTATAATTTCTTATGGTCATTATTCTTTTTGATGCTCAAATTGTCCAAAGTTGATGCAGGTCGAGAAATCAGCTCCTGCCTTTGAGCACTTCCTCACTTTCTGGCACCTTTTACTCTCTTTGCTTTAACCTGTGCAGGCTACCAGAGCTTTTATTAACTCAAAAGAATGTCACATGGCGCAGTAAACCTACTTTTGCCCACCCCTGTATTTATACATTTCTTCCGTACTGCAATACACAGACAACAGTTCCATAATTAAAAAGTAATAATTTTTTTAAGAGAGGAAGGGAGACGCACGCACACACAGAACCATCAATGATAAGGGAGAATCACTGATTGCCTGCCTCCTGCACGTCCCCTACTGGGGATTGAGCCTGTGATCCAGCACGTACCCTAACTGGGAATTGAACCATGACCTCCTGACTCATAGATCAATGCTCAACCGCTCAGCTACGCCGGCTGGGCCAGTTTCATAATTTAAAAATTGATGCTACTGCCAATAACCCACTAAATAAAGTTCAGGATTTCTTTGCAGCCCTCTTTCCCCCTAGAACACATCCTTTCTTTCCCTTTGAAGTTATATTACAAATTTGACATATTGTTCACTTGTTTCTATTTATGTTCGATTGAGGGTTTATGTCCATTATTTTATAAATATGTAAATTCTTTACCTAGTTCGAAAGTCAAAACTATCTAAAGAGGCATACTCCCATCCACAGCCCCCCGTCCTTCCTGCTCGCTCCTTCAGTCTCGGTTCATCCTCCACCTGTCTGCCTCTCTCTCCTGCTTTTTACCCTCCTTCCCTCCCCGCTTCCTTCCTTCCACAGCATTAAGGAATTACATACCTATGTTTTCATTTTCCTTTTTTCCGTACACAAAAGAGAGCATAGCGTATGCTCGCTATGTACCTTGATTTTGATTTTCATTAACAAGTGAAATTGCTTCATAGAGCTCTTCCTTATCCCTAAGGATGGCTGCATGGGCCCTGGCCAGGTGCTCAGTTGGTTGGAGCAGTGCCCTGTACACCAAAAGGGTGGGGGTTGGATTCCCTGTCAGGTCACATACCTAGGTTGTGGGTTCGATCCCCAACTGGAGTGTGAATGGGAGGCAACCAATCAATGTTTCTCTCTCTCTAAAAATCAATAAAAAAGAGACAAACATATCCTCAGGTGAGGATTAAAAATAAAAAAGGCTGCATGGACAGGTTGGTTTTTTTCTGCAGTGTCCTGTGTAAGGGCATCTAGATTATTTTCAATATTT